TATGTGTCCTTTATATCTTTTATAGGCATAAGAGAGGTTTTGTTGAATATTTTATACATTGCTCCTCATACTGTCAAGGTTCCTGTGGCAGGCCTGGTCCGTTTTGAAGTTGACACATACCCTTTCAGCAGAAGAAAAATCTGCATCTCTGGCCAGCCTTGAATTGCTGATTGTTTATGAATTTTAGTAGTTTTAAGGCACGCGTTTAAGCGTATATATCCTCTCCCTTGAGGCCTGCCAGAAGAGAAAGAAAGGGAATCAAGTCATTGGGAAAAAAAAACCCTTCTACTCATGAAGGAAACATAAGCATATTTTCGCATCTGCCCCATGCTGTTTTTTTCTTTGAGATATGCCACTTGTCACAAAATCTGACATTAGGTGACCTTCCAAAGCATCTGAAGCATGCATTACTTGGCTTTCCACCCACCAGATGGCCATTCCCATGATAGAGAGATAAAGGGTATATTGAAGGAATAAGGTAAAGGTACCCCTGCACATGCGTGCTAGTCGTTCCCAACTCTAGGGGGCGGTGCTCATCTCTGTTTCAAAGCTGAAGAGCCAGTGCTGTCCGAAGACGTCTCCGTGGTCATGTGGCTGGCATGCCATCAATGCCAAAGGGACATGGAATGCTGTTACCTTCCCACGAAAGGTGGTTCCTATTTTTCTACTTGCATTTTTTACGTGCTTTTGAACTGCTAGGTTGGCAGAAGCTGGGACAAGTAACGGGAGCTCACCCCGTTATGCGGCACTAGGGATTCGAACTGCTAAACTGCCAACCTTTCTGATCAAAAGCTCAGCTTCTTAGCCCCTTAGCCATCCTGGCAGTGGTCGCAACCGATACACTGCACATGGGGCCGGGTGTCCTGGTTAGGCTTGTGTGCTATGCATACATGCGCATGCCACCACCCTGCGACACCCAGTTGCTCAGCGGTGGTTGTGCAGGCGCCGCATGCTGTGCGTGTGTGCACAATTGGCCAGTTGCGTTAAAAGCAGCCATAGAACACGGGCGGGTGGGTGAAATGAGTCACCGTACTGTGGCCACTGCTCCCGGCTACTACATACCAGGCCGAACCACCCGGAACCCACCACTGCATCCTGGAGAGCTATGATTAACAACAAGCCTGGATTTGAAGCAGTGGGGGGGAGGGGGAGAAGTGTTTATGGTTCTAGCAACTTGTTCCTCACTTCAGCAATCATGGTTTAATCAATTGGAGAGGCAGCCTGGAACAAAGTGATCTCCCTGAACTGAAAAAAAAAAAATTTGCTTGGCGCCAAGCAAGTAATACAAAGTTTGGAGGCATTTCTCTTTCAATGTGAACAGTTTAGCTGTGTCTCCAGTAGACTTTCTCTCTATTCAGTTGACACAAAAGCAGTTTGGATTAGCCCTGGAGGGGATTTGCCTGGGAGAATCATCTAATCCTCAAATTGAGCTCTCTAGTTCAGTTGTAATTCTTAAATGATGAGTGGCTTGCTAGCTTGAAAGTATTAGGGGACTGGAGGCTAAAACATATGAAGAACAGTTGCAGGAATTGAGTATGACTAGTTTAATGAAAAGAAGGACTAGGGGAGACATGATAGCAGTCTTCCAATATCTCAGGGGCTGCCACAAAGAAGAGGGAATCAAGCTATTCTCCAAAGCACCTGAGGTCAGGACAAGAAGCAATGGGTGGAAACTAATCAAGGAGAGAAGCAACCTAGAACTAAGGAGAAATTTCCTGACAGTTAGAACAATTAATCAGTGGAACAACCTGCCTCCAGAAGTTGTGGATGCTCCAACACTGGAAGTTTTAAAGAAGAGATTGGACAACCATTTGTCTCAAATGGTATAGGAGTTCCTGCCTAAACAGAGGGGTTGGACTAGAAGACCTCCAAGGTTCCTTCCAGTTCTGTTATTCTATCATTGAATGTACCTCCAACGTCACTTCCAACTCTGTTATATCTATTCTATTCTGTTGTACGCTACTCTATTCTACTCTATTCTATTCTGTCCTGGAG